AGCAAATGGCTGCAATATAACAAAGAGTGAAAAATTTAAGGGGGTCTGAATACTTTCCGTACCCACTGTATGTCCCTATTGTTTTCATTTGGGCCAAAGACTATGTTCTTTGCTTCAATTTAAAAAAAAAAAATGTTTTGAGAGAAATGCGTTTTCTCTTCATTTAGACAAGCCAAAAATGTCAAAAAACCTTCATAAAATAAAAGTGACAGTCTGGAGATCGCATTCACAGGAGGGTTCAGTGCAAAGTTAGCAACAGAGAAAAGAACTTTAGGTCTATGATTACTTTTTGCAATTAATTTTGAGAAATATTTAGACTTTGCAGATTTCACAGCTTTCTGAAAAGCAGAGTCTTTATGCATTTTGTAGGATATTTGCAGTTTTTCCTTGGCATGGGTGGTGATGGTGAATGGGTGGTGGCATTATGCCATGGCTCAGTTTTAGTGAAGTCTATACTTCACTGTCATTAGAGGTTTAGAGTGGCAGCACACATGAATATTAAAATCACCAATCAAAAGAATATGGTCATTCTTATACAGTACATCACCCACAAATTTATTCAATTAATTTATAATATTATAATAAAATAATGATCATCCATTATTAACGACTTTAGTGTTGCTTTTCCCACAACATTTTTAAGTCAAGACAAAGTAGGGTATTGTGTATGCAAACACAACTGCAAGTTCTCTGTCTGGACAAATCTATCTAAAAAACTCTATACCTAAACACACAAAATTGTCGAATATTTCACTGTTTCATGTAGGCATTCACATACCTCCTGTTTTTGAAGACAAGAAATCATGTCTTGGCTGAACCACAATGAAACTAGGATACTTTTAAAGGGGTCATATGACGTTGCTAAAAAAGAACATTATTTGGTGTAATGCAATGTTTATGCAGTTTAAGGTTCAAAAAACACATTATTTTCCACATACTGTACATTATTGTTTCTCCTCTATGCCCCGCCTTTCTGGATTGGCCGAATACCTCAAGCGTGTGATGGAAATGTTATGCCCCTTACCATACTGTGATGCTGTGTCCTGGCCGGAGCGACAAGACAAAAACATTAAAATCCATTATAAACGAGGCATTTGTTGCATGCAGTGGGGACATAATTACGGATTATAATGACTTATACTGTCTTTTTACGCGTTGCGTTGCATCACGCCACGTAAACATAGAACCATGTCTGCATTTGTGATCGGAGAAATTACAAACAACATGCGCTACTCTACACTGCCCAAAACTCGCGTTTGAATCATCAGTGGCAAATCCTTTAAATGAAAACTTACTGCAACATTTTATTACTAACTTTCAGGGACAGAACTGGCTGATAATCTGCCCACTTCTCCTCGCCTCATCAAAACTCATTTACCTGTTCAGCTTGTTCCCAAGTCCTTCTGGGAGCAGAACTCAAAGGTAAAGTAAATGGGACTTTTTTCACTTTTTTTCTTTCACCCTGTGATGTTTTGACTGTAGGTGACTTCATGAATCATCCACCACAGAATGAAAATTGTGTAAAAACTCATTGCATATAATCATCCTATTATGTGACTTACTTTAGTCAGATGTTCTATCTTTATTTCATTTAATTTTATAAGAGTTCTAAATTGTGTTTTAATGAGTGATGTTTAACAGACAGTGTCATTGAAGTGCAGTTGTATTTAAGTGAAATGTTTGGCAGTTGTGGTTGGTAAATAAATACATTTTTCTTTATAATACATTATTACATATAAATAAATTATTTCTTACATTTGGTGTGGCTTTACATTTTAGCTGTGACATAACTTTTTTTTTTTTCCTTCCTTCCTTCATTTTTTTCCCCCACTCATTTTAGATTGTGTATGTAGCTCGGAATGCAAAAGACAATGCAGTTTCTTATTTTCATTTCGATCGAATGAACATGGTACAGCCTGAACCAGGAGACTGGAACACTTTCTTACAGACATTTATGGAAGGAAAAAGTAAGTAAAATAATTTTCCAAGTCACAAAAAAAAAATAGAGTAAAAATAAAATAAAAAACATAAATGAAATAAAATAAATCTTTCTGGCCAGTTAAATTCTGAACCATTTTAATATCAGGGGAAAATATTTTAATTTTGAAATTTATTAAATATAATATTATCGCTACAAGAACATTGAGAAAGTAAAAATACTAATTTTCCCTATTATGTGCAACCCCTACGTGAATCAAGAAAGTTGCCACAGATTAATATATTTTAACATCAGACTTTTTTATCCTAGATGTGTTCGGCCCTTGGTATGACCATGTCAGTGGATGGTGGGAGAAAAAACAGACTTACTCTAACCTAATATACTTGTTCTATGAGGATTTGGTGGAAGTAAGTTCAGTAACATTTTTATTGATAGTAAAATCAGTATGTTTAATGTGTCAAAAGTGTATATTGTACCATGACTTTTTCAGGACACTGGACGTGAGGTGGAACATTTGTGTTCCTTCTTGGGTTTGTCAACCTCGGTTGAAGAGAGGGAGAAAATAACAAAAGGGGTTCAGTTTGATGCCATGAAACAGAACAAGATGACCAACTATTCCACTATCCCAGTCATGGACTTCAAGATCTCACCCTTCATGAGAAAAGGTTTATAAACTACTAAATAGTTTAATGTAGTTCTTATAAATTCTGTTCTTTCACTTGCTATTATTTTTTAAATTATTTTTCATTACAAAAGGTAAAGTTGGAGACTGGAAAAATCATTTCACTGTGGCACAAAATGAACAGTTTGATGAGGTCTACAAACAGAAGATGAAGAACACCACTGTCAAGTTCCGCACTGAAATCTAATATTAGAGAGTTCTGAATGCTGCACCAGAGTACTAACTAAAAAAGTTACATTTAATTTTTAAACTGTCCCGATGAAATCAGAATTGTTTGAAATCAAAATTGAGCAAAATGTTGTTGTTTTTTTTTTTCTCTTTTAGTAGGAATATGTTAGCCTTAAAGGGATAGTTCACCCAAAAATGAAATTTTGATGTTTATCTGCTTACCCCCAGCGCATCCAAGATGTAGGTGACTTTGTTTCTTCAGTAGAACACAAACGGAGATTTTTAACTCAAACCGTTGAAGTCTGTCAGTCTTATAATGGAGGTGTATGGCAATCAAGGCTTTGAGAGTAAAAAAAAAACATACACAAACAAAACCAAATTAAACCCTGCGGCTTGTGACGACACATTGATGTGTAAAGACATGAAACGATCGGTCTGTGCAAGAAACTGAACAGTATTTATATCGTTTTTTACCTCTGATTCACCGCAATGCAGATAAATAAGCAGATAAACATCAAATTTTCATTTTTGGGTGAACTATCACTTTAAGGATATCTTTAAGCTGGTGTGCTCTGAAACACTGACAAAATTCGCATTTATAAAATATATATATTCAAAACTTACAGTCTACGGATCAATGATTTTGCTGACATCATTCTGCACTGCATCTTCTGATCAGACCAGACCAATCAAATGCTCTCTAGAATCTGAAGCTCCGCCCTTTATACTGTACTATAAAAGACACTAAAGCTGTGACTGAAAATGATTACTTGTTCACTCATTTATGTTATATATGGTCAATGGCACATTGTAACATTGCAGCATCGCAAACGGTCAGACATCCTCAGCATTATAAACAACAGTGATGAGGAGAATTGTCCATAAGTGTGAGTGCGAGTGGAATGTGTGTTAGTCTTGTGATGAACTGGTCATCCATCCAGTCTGTTTCCCTACCTGCAGACAAATTAGATTTTTATATCAGTTAACTGGTGATCGTTATGCCCAGTGCATCCCATATTAACAAAAAACTACTAACTTTACTACATTTCTCAGTCGAATGACATTAGTTCAGTGTACCTTTTCAAACGAACTGTGAAACATGTTCACTAACCAACTAAACTGTGGACAGTGTGTCTTTATTGCATGCTTCTCAAAAGGAATGCTTAATCCTAGAAAGTATAAGCAGGTGTTTGCAGTAACAAGGAAAAGTTGTTGAGGCAGGATCTAATTGCAGCTGTCAGTGTAGTTTATTAAATCAAGTACTCGTAATTAAAGTATATTACATTCTATAATGCTTGTTATCAGATTACAGTTACTTTTTTATGGATTACATGATTATACACTATTCACACAATGGCAGTAAATCATTTATAATTATTGATTCTCCCTATTTTTTTTCTCTTTTAAATTTTCCTTTCTACATTCACAACATAGAATGAACATATAAATGTCATGTAAATAAATTTATAAACCATGCTACTGAAAAAGCACCTCTCAAGCAATTAATCCATGTATGAAACAAAATAATTACACAATTTACTCAACACTGGTGATGGTGTGAAACGCTATGTCTTCATCATATCCTGAGTGACCTTCAGTAACTGACAAAAAATGTTCAAACCTGAAAGACTTTGGGCATGTGATGTCATTGTTGTTTTCACTCTCCTCGTGTGAAGACCGAAGAGTGTAAAGACCATCGACTCTACCGTTCGACTCTACTGAGCAGGAACACCGGCAAGGCACATACAGTGGGTACGGAAAGTATTCAGACCCCCTTAAATTTTTCACTCTTTGTTATATTGCAGCCATTTGCTAAAATCATTTAAGTTAATTTTTTTTCCTCATTAATGTACACACAGCACCCCATACTGACAGAAAAACACAGAATCGTTGACATTTTTGCAGATTTATTAAAAAAGAAAAACTGAAATATCACATGGTCCTAAGTATTCAGACCCTTTGCTCAGTATTTAGTAGAAGCACCCTTTTGATCTAATACAGCCATGAGTCTTTTTGGGAAAGATGCAACAAGTTTTTCACACCTGGATTTGGGGATCCTCTGCCATTCCTCTTTGCAGATCCTCTCCAGTTCTGTCAGGTTGGATGGTAAACGTTGGTGGACAGCCATTTTTAGGTCTCTCCAGAGATGCTCAATTGGGTTTAAGTCAGGGCTCTGGCTGGGCCATTCAAGAACAGTCACAGAGTTGTTGTGAAGCCACTCCTTCGTTATTTTAGCTGTGTGCTTAGGGTCATTGTCTTGTTGGAAGGTAAACCTTCGGCCAAGTCTGAGGTCCTGAGCACTCTGGAGAAGGTTTTCGTCAAACTTTCCTGAGGATGGTACTCCCCTAGTTATGCTTGGAGACTTCAACATCCACCTAGATAAACCTCAGTCTGCAGACTTCCACACTCTGCTCGTGTTAACTACGGCTACTCACAAATCATGCAACCAACTGGACCTTATTTACACACGACACTGCTCCACTGATCATGTGCTGGTTACTCCACTGCACACCTCGGATCACTTCCTCCTCACTCTTAACCTCAACATGGTTCCTGACACAACACATACCCCTACACATGTCACTTTTCGACGTAAC